TACTCCCAAGGTCCGTATATGTTCCCCCGCCTCCCTAACTGTGGCTAAATGTGGCTGTTAACCCCAGAACCTGCGATGTGGTCTTCAAGCCTTGTAATTAAGGCCTCAAAAAGTAAGCTCCAGAACACCTGGAAAGCTCCAGTGCTCACATATTCTTGATAATCACTCCGCAGCACCTCCAATTTACGAATACCTCCCCAGTAACATAACTCAACACAACCTCCAGTTCCTTTATTGAAGCTTCGCATATCGTCCGGTTGTCTTCGTCATCTTACCACCACAGTAAACAAAAGTAAATTCGTCATCATGCTTACGGAACGAGAAATGCAAATAAGTCCGATTGTGCAAGAGTCTGTGATACACAATACAAAGGTTCGTTATTTAATTTGACAGGTTCGAGTTGGAGGCAGCATTTGGGTGGACTCCGCCGAGCGAGCCTAAAGCAATCTCGATATTGGTCAAGCTACTACAATTGCAGCTTCACCAACCTTCTCTCTCTTACACAGATAAATCAGCTAATCGTCATCTTCTACAGACTCTCGCGACTCTCCACAATCTCACAGCCTCCCTCTTCGGTGTCGCCGCTGGTATCCTCGGTCTCGAATCTTACCCTGGATTCCTGTTCTACATCTTCTTCACGCTCCTCACTAGTGCTCTCGTATATGTGTTTCGGATAGCTCCGCATATGAGTAAAGATACTATGGGTGATCGATATTTTAGAGGCGCGTGGGAGTTTTGGTCGGGAGGATTAGTAGAGGGTCTGAGTGGATTTGTGTTGACCTGGACTTTATTCTATGGATTGGTTAGGGCGTAATGGGAGATAGTGGGTCAATGTGGCAGGGGGAGTTTGGGAACAGAGTGATCTTTATGGGACAGGCTGAAGTGTTGGATGGACGTGAGGATTATTTGGATCTGAGAGGATTCAATCTTGGAAAATCAATCGACTATCCTACATCCAAGAATCCTTGAACACAAACGTCGAATAAATAATGTGGGGAAAGGGAATGATCGATAAACCACAAGCGCAAGCGAGAGGGAGCAGTGCAATAATAGGAATGAGAAGATGTAGTGATGACTGGAAGGAATACGGAAGATTGCGCTTGTTGACTTTAGGCGCGGATGGATTTCCCTCGTCGCGACAAATATCAACTAGTATGGCGCTTGGAGTTGGACTGATTGATATTCGACATGCTTGATGTTTATATTCCCAAATGGTGGTTATGTCTATGTGTCCATATACAGTATTGCGGTATCAAATGGAGTTGAGGAATACCAGAGTTCGTTTCACGGATATAGATTTGAGTTATTCCCTTTGCGTGTGATAATGAGAGCAAGTGTTCGCAATAAGGTAGGACAATAATTTCTGAGCTATGTTCCTTTTGTTGCCGTTAGCAATCCTGTTTAGTAGATTATCTCAGTCAGAGTCCTTGTTAGATTGTCTAGGCCTGCTCCAGAAAAGAAATGGATCGCATTGAATTTTTTCACTGGAAGTATGGAGGAGACATAGTGAAACTTGCCAAATCTTCCAAAACTTCCAAAACATAAAACACGCTTCTATACCCATCCTGTCTTGTAAAACTTCTTGCATTTACACCATCTAGAATTTCCTTGCTGCAACCTGAACATTCTGTTACGTATTGTAAGAATACTACTTTGGGATGTTCCCTAAGTCTAAGAGTCCTACGAGTCGGAATATCAATTCTTAAAGGTGCACGCTGAATACTGTTTAATATATTCGAACATTCTTCATTGCTGTTATGGATGGATGTATTGTTGTTAGCACTATCTGATTATTACTACCACCGCATGCGTAGCTGGTGGTATTCCCAACCTTCACAGATTTTGTGTGACTATTAATGGGATGTGCTTGCAACATTGTGATGAAATTGATGAAGTTGGTGTAATTCGCTAGTGCTGCTAGTTATCTACCTATGGATAGTTCCCTGCCCCCTTCAATTCTAGGGATACATCTTGGGTCGTGTGTAAATAAAAACGTATTGGGCGAAAGAGGAAGGGCTTTTGTAGTAAGGCGATGGGAAACTCACGAGTTTTATAAAGTTAAAACCCCTCCTCCTGAGTCCTGAAAGCTTCACACTAGCTTGCAGAGTTTATGCTTCTTGTTTCTCCAACCTGTTCTCTTTCCTCTTCTTGACTATGAACCCTCTGCTTCTCTTATATTTTATTATTTGCTCTTTAACTACAGCATGAGACAAGTTGGTACTTATTTGCAAGGTAGCGGGGATTTCTGAGGTAGAACTCTTTCAATCGAATAACTGGCCAAATTTCGGTTCGTTCTGCTAAAAGGGGTCTAGAATCAAGTTCTAGAATCAAGTATCTGGAAACATCTTATGGAAAGTTTCGACCAATCATGATTTCTTCATTCTCGTAACCTGGAGGATAATAAGAACATGCATTGAACGTCAACTGATATATCTTTGCCATGCGGTAGGACGAGTTTCGCTAGGGTGTGTTTGGTGGTGAAAAACGGTGTTAGAGTGATGATTTGGTGATATATTGGTAGAGTAATATCAAAATGCGAAGAGTAGCAAAAATTCTTTTGTCCATAGATCAGTCACAATGGGATGGTGTTATTTTTCAATGTATAATGACGATATTCTTCGAGATCATGATTTGGCTAGTCTACTAGTGAGAGAGAGTGGCATAGATTTCTCAAGGAAGTGTAAATAGTGTGACGATGGGATTCATCAGAATGAACGGAGAGAGTCGACATGTGGCAAAAGAAATTTTCGTTTTACAAAGCTTAATGTTTGTTAGCCTGGAGATAAGAGGGCAGTGACGATCGTTGCTTTGGGTGGGGAAGGAGGTGATGAAGTTGAACGGCGATATCGTTAGTAAGAGAAGAGGATGGGAATAGCCTTGTCAGGAGGTAGACTTCAGAGGATGTGTAAAATCTCGATTGAGTTGGCTAATAACTAAACTACCTAGTATATGAAGAAGACTATTACATGATGAAGACTAGCACATGGCCAGGTGGGCGATTACAAGAAAGGCATGAACGCAACATAAACTGCCGTAATTCCGAATACTTGTCCTTTCGCTCCTTCTCCTGCCTCAGAATCATCATCGTTATCGCCGTTATTGCTTTCTTAGTGCAGCGAAAAGGCCACATCGACAAAAAAAAGTCAAAAACAATCCTAATCGCTAGTCCAAAGGCCAATTAAAGGTATGTTTCCATGAAGGAAAATTGTACAAAGTATTGTGGTCAATCTCGCGATGAATGAAAGAAGTGATTCATCTTGAGCCGATTAAAAAGAGAGTTCCTCTAGGGAGTTATGAATCAAAAATTATGAGAGCAGTCCGTAGACTACCGGGCCGGCGAACCAGCGCGTCCCATCTAACACTCATGATCGAAAGATGGACTCTCTACACCTCGTCTCTTACAAAGGCAAGCCACACTTTGATGAAGACGTACACCGCTCTGCAGTGAGCGACATGCTGGGGAGGGGAGTGTCACTTTGTGAAGGAGGTTCAACTCTTTGGGGAGCGTATGCAGCGCTTCCCGAAGGAAGGTGATAGCCACTCAGTGAAGGTGGTTCTGCGCTTCGTAAAGGACGTTCGCCACTCTGTAGCATGGCATATACTAAAGAGGGTGCAGGCCCCTATCAAAGTGTAATCCTGCCTTCGTAATAGACGAGGTGGTATGGAGAAGAAAGAAAAGAAAAAGGAAGTTGTGAGGGGGGATTCGAGCTTAAATACACATTTTTAGGACGCTAGTTTAGAAGATTTTCAGACGAAGCCACGGGATTGGATGGCATTCGCTCTTAGTACATCACACTCTTGATACATATTTCTCAACTCATTATTGGCTCGGAAAGACTCGGAGAAGCACGTCTACTTATCCTAAGAGTTACTTGTACTGTTGTCCTCTATTGGAACCTTATTCATTGTTTCTTATGACACATCATTGACTTTCAGCGAAGGAACAATTCGGGTGGTTGTTTGGCTTTAATAAGAGCGTTGTTTTAGAGAACTACTTCATGAAATGCACCAGGGTGACAGAGGTTATCGTATATTCTTTTCGCTACGATCTTTACGGAGCATGTAGATGGGTGATGTGGGATGGACCTGGGGTCACCTACTTAGTACCAGCTTTGAGCTTCTAAAACATACTATTATTCAAAGATTTCAGAAATTCGATGTTATGATGAATTTTTATCAAAGAATTACTTGGGACACAAAAACATAAAATGATAATCGACTCGTGGATATAGCACACTTTGAAGCTCAGTATGAGACTTTGTTTTCAAAATACAAAATATTCTTCTGCGCCGTATTTCCAGAGCTTATGATAGTCCACAGGTCAAATAATCTTCACAAGATATCATTTAATCCCAGAAGAACCAGCGCGAACACATAATTCTCCAACTGAACATCTCACCTCTGACAGAGCCCGTAGCCCGTACGTGGCATTGTTATAGAGAGTGTAAAAGTTGACTTCAAAATCCCTAAATCTTTAAAGGTCTAGCGGCTAGATATCAATAAGTATGCTGGGTTTTTTCTTTTATAATTTGCCATCTTGTTAAATATTTGCTTTGGGTTTCAGGTTTCAATATCTTCTGGCTATATGTGTATTATTGGCGTGCTATCTACGGAGCCATGTTAAGGAGTAACAATTTTTCTGACACATCCTACTCCCGATGTCCTACTTTGAAAAAATGTCTCCCTTTCAATAGAGCGATCTAATGGATCAATATTTATCTCCAAAAATCTATAGAAAAAATCATAGAAAACAACAAAAAAATTCGAAAATAGGTGATGCGGCACTCACAATTATGATTGCCGAGAATATTCAGGGGGGTTTAGAACGCAATATGTTAAAAATAGAATTGTTCACATTGTTTGTAATTCAATTAAACAATCCTATTGGTTGTTCAGTATTCCAGATTACTTCACTTGAAAGTAGGTACGTCATATACATACATACCGCACGGCCCGTCTATGCAGTATCCCACTTGCACATGTCAATAAAGCAAAACCAGAGCTCTTTCGTAGGTGCAATAAATACTCCTCTCTTCCTCTTTCTTCATCAATTTATACAATTTCTGTTCCTTCTTTATTAAAAACACCCGATTAAGAAGATGGAGTTATTATATCCCATATTTCATCCCTTCCTCTTTCTTTACCGAGTATGGCAATACTTTCTCGTCAAACTCCTTTCTCCTTCACCACCGTTTGAAGGAGAAAAACTTGGAAGACCCAAGATTGCAATTATTGGTGCTGGATTGACGGGTGTTTCTGCTGCTTCTCACTGTGTTGGTCATGGATTTGATGTGCAGATTTTTGAGGCTGGTCCTAGGAGTCAATTGGGTGGTATTTGGAGTGTAAGCTTACCATTTTCCCCTTATGTGTTGGGCACATAAAACCCCAGGATTACAGAGATTCATGCTAACACAGTTCAATAGAGAGTCAACAGTACATCTGGTCTACAAATCCATTCGTTAATGTATCGATTCCATCCTTCCGTTCAATGGAAAGGTGGTTATCCGAATCAACAACAAATTGTATCTCAGATCACCGAACTCTGGAAACGCTATGGTCTAGAGGAGAAGACAAAGTTCGATACGAAAGTCGAGAAAGTATACCAAGATGACAGAGGAAGATGGATAATCAACAACACATCAGAAGGACGATTCGAAGGTATTATTGCAGCTGTTGGTACATGTGGAGAGGCAAAAATGCCACATATTCCTGGAATGGATAAATTCAAGGGAGAGATATACCATTCAAGCGATCTGACGGGCAAAGATGCAAAAGGAAAGAAAATTATTGTCATCGGAGGTGGTGCAAGTGCAGTTGAGGCATTAGAATTTGCAACCCATGAAGAAGCGGCTGAGACGACAATTCTGGCCAGGAGTGATAAATGGATTATTCCTCGGAATGCTGTCGTAGATATGATACTTGCGTTAAACATCTTTGGACAGGAAACTTTCTTGAGCTGGATACCAGAGATGCTGCTTAAGAAGTTCTTTTACCGAGATCTGGAAGATCTTGCTCCAGCCGATAAAGGAATTTTCACAGGTACTCCTATGGTCAATTCGGACGTGATGGATAAAATCCGTGAAGGAAAAGCCGAATGGCTACGGGGGGATATCAAGGGATTCACCGAAGATGGTATCAATTTCAATCTCCGAACAAAAGGTGTTCCTCCCGGTGGTCCTGGAAAAACAAAGCTCGTGAAGGGCGATATTGCTGTAATGGCAACTGGATTCGAGCGACCATCTCTTGACTTCCTCCCACCCGACACATTTCAGGATCCTTACACACCACCAAATTGGTATCTCCAAACCTTCCCCCCCACACACCCTTCCGTCTGTTGCAACAATTGCACTTACGTCAATGCTATTGGTGCAGTGGGCAACTGGCACATAGGAATTTACACACGTATCCTTCTTATGTTCCTATCGGATCCTCTCACGAGACCAAGACCCTTCTGGATGGAACGCTGGATTGATATGACACGAATTCTGAAGAGGTTTAGTCCAACAGGTGCATTTGATTTCTTTACATATTTAGAATTAGTATGGTGGTTCACATTTTGCATTGCGATCAATCCATTCAGGTGGAAGTGGGCCGTCTTTGTATTTACTGGGCTTGGAAGGGGATTACCGAGAAGAGTTGTGGAGGCGGAGGATAAGTTGAGAGGATCATTGGGATGGAGTAATGGAATTGGTGATGAGAATTATGACAAGGGAAGCAGTTTTTGAGGAACAGGAGGTAGTTTATTACTTCAGATGATCTAGTGTGTCCAATAGTTTGGACTGCGGTCCGTGAATCATAAGCCTTTTGTGTGTTGGCATATTCACAAATTATTTAGAACACCCAGATAATACTCATGAGTATGAGAGTTTTGGTACAAGATGATGATAATGATGGACTTGTGGACAGTATATACAGTGTTAATTACTTTTGTATAGCGAACAGTCACTTCAGAGATAGATCAATAGGTAATTAGTTCATGGCACAATGAACGAAAGATACAAACACAATTCAAGCTTAAAGAATTTCACTACTCGAATCAAGAAATTTCCAGGCGCCAAGAAAAGGAAAAAACTTGTTGCACATCTCAAGTGTTCTTGGCTATACTCAAATCCCACATTTAACCCGCTCGCCAAGGGTATATGAGAACTAAGGAGAACTAACTAAGTGGTGATTTCGTCCGTAGAGTGGCTCGACTCTCGAGAGTGGTTCGTAAACTTTATGGTCAAAAGCAAATGAGAAGGAATATAAGAATTGTCAGGAGAATGTATAGGATTTGTGGCATGTCTGGAGTTTTCTTGGCTGGAATAGTGAATTTTTGGGTCTTGTGGTTAGGTGCTAGGGGATGGAAGAGGGGGTTTTGGAATTGTAGAGGAGAGAAGGAAGAGGGGAGAGGATTGTTTGTTCGCTTGTATGGTTGGCTGATTTTCGTGGTAGGGGAGAGGACTTTTTGGGTTGTGACGGACATAGGAGATTGGATGTGGGAGAGTGGGTGGGTTGTGGTGGGTTTGACTTTATAGGCTTGTTTGTCTGCTTGTTACCTCTTTCTCAAGAAAATTGTATGTTTGCGTGTATTCTGGAGCACTGGATAGATGAGAATAGTCGAGGGGGCATTGAATACTAGATATATGGAAGACTAAAGGTATGGAAGAGAGGGGCAGATCTCAATAGTTGAAAGTCCATAAACTGCATAAGAGCAGTTGAGGTATGGGTTTGGGATATGGAGGTTACGATTGGATGGGTCGTCACTTATTGCTATTTGAGATGCGTCTCACTATACTAGATTGATTATCAGATTTATTCTTCATATGATAACCTGTGTTAAAGATTACCCCTCAATGAGCAGTGCTACACGTATCTGATTCGGTTTACTCCGCCCCCCCCCCCCCTCCCCTTTCACTGTGCATACCCACCATGGATGTGATGCAAGTACTCTGGGTCTGCTTCCTATAATGAACACTGAGTATGTTCAATCTCTATACTAGAGGACAATCTCAACGCGACTTGGAGTTACTTTATGGATGAAAGCATTCTCTAGGTGAACTGCTATTGAAAGCTTGAAACTGAGTCCTTCATCGTTTATTTGTATTGACTTGGGGAATGAAATCGATCTAAAATGCCTGAAATGAAGAATTTAACTTGTCAAGTATCAGGTTTGAATATTGGAGATCTACAGCACACTTGCTGGAGCCTGGACTTATGAGAAATTCAATCTGCATATGAAATTAAAATAGATGGAATGTACACAGCTTTGAACAGGGTATCCAATAGTCCGGACTGCAGTCCAACAATACAAGGGTTTGAATATCGAAACTATAAGCAATTCAAAATATGAAAACAGTTCGATATCTCAATCAAATTCAGTATCTCAAATAATTTGAATATTCCAAATGGTTTAGGGATTTGATAATCTTCACTGTTTGACTGCAATTCGGACTATTGCCCTGTGGTGGCAAAGTTAATATTACAGACGAAGAGAAATTCAGTATAAATCCCTATACAAATTTTTATTAAATCTCTCTTTTGTTATTAACGAAACACTGATTTCGTTAATAACGAATATTATTGGTACTAAATACAACCTGTTTATTATTAAATTTTAATAGAAAAAAAGAAAATAAGGGCCCTTAAGATTCCAAAATCTTCAAATATTAGAATTGTAAAAAAGGTGAACGGAAAAATATATATATAAAGGTTAAAAGAAGGTTATAATAATAAATGAAAATTAAGGAAAAAGAGTAAGGGAATAAGTATAAAGATTAGAATGATAAAAAAGTATTAGTTAAAAGTCTAAAGAAAAGTTTATTTATCAATTACAATACTTCATCTTTGATTTGTTCTTTAATCAGAAGCTTTATTACTATACTACTTATGTAATAACGTAGTTTAACACCGAATAGGCTATATCACCGAGTAGACCACTTTCACCTCAATTTACACCTTCAAATATAAATTATTTAACAATTATTGAATTAATTGATTTAAATTATTAAGAATCTAATAATTTAGAATCTATTACATTATTTTAATAGGTTCTTGTATTATAACCTGTTTTTCTATATTTACTATAATATTAATTAGAAAATACTTCTCTATTAGAATTTCCCTCTTTTTAATACCTATTATATTGAATCTGAATATTAATCTTTTATTAAAATAATATATTAAAAGCTTTTTATTTAATAAACACTCCTCCTTAATATAATTAAGTTTTTTATATAACGTAACGTATGGGGAACTCGGACACTTTTTCAATTATTCTACACGCGATCTTGTTCTACGAGCCACACAATCCTCCAATTCCAATTCCGAATCACTTGAACTATTCTCTAGCTCTTCTTCTTCAATATCTTCTTCTGATTCTTCAATTAGGCGTTTGCGTGGCCGTCCTCGTGGCTTTTTCTCCTTCGGTTTTTCCTCCGCCTCACGTACCATTTTCAATAACGTAAGTCATGGCGTAATGCGTCTAATGGCGTAATGCGTCTAATTGTGGGGGACCACCCCATCAAAAAAGCAACAATTCAACAATGGTCCGTCGAAAAAGTTTAAAAGTGCAGGAAATGGAATCTCGACTTTCTGAAGCAGTATTAGGAGTTCAAAATGGAAAGTATAAGTCTTCATATGAAGCTGCAAAAGAACTGGGGCTTTCTAAAGATACTGTGACGCGACGCGTCAAAGGGGGTTCGTCGCGTTCTGAAGCACGTCAATCGCAACAGAAACTTTCTGCTGTACAAGAGAATGTACTTCTTAAGTGGATAAAGCAATTGACAATTAGCGGCTGTTCACCAGGCCATCAGTTGTTAAAAGAATTGGCTGAGGAGTTACGTTCAAAACGGACTTATAATTTGGATTGCCCCTCATTTGACTCCCTTGAACTCCCACCACAACACCTTCTTGGTCATGAATGGGTTCCACGATTTATCAAACGACATCCTCATCTTACAGTTGTTATTGGCCGTCGAATTGAATCTGTAAGAATGGATGGTGCAACCAGGGAAACATGTAGTACTTGGTTTGACGCGTATCAAAAAGCGATTCAGGATTATGGAATTGAGAAGAAAGACGAATATAATATGGATGAATCTGGACATTCAATTGGGACAATGGAATCAACTCGAATTATTATCGATTCTACACTTCGTACAAAACATCAAGCACATCCAGGCCGTCAAGAGTGGATTTCAATGGTAGAGTGTATTTGTGCGGATGGATCCATTCTTCCACCACTCGGGATTTTTAAAGGTAAAAATGTCCTTCAAAATTGGATTCCGAAGGAAGTTCTTGGTAGCTGGTTCTTTTCAGCAAATACAAAGGGCTGGACAAGCAATCTTCATGGATTAGAATGGCTAAAACGCGTTTTCGAACCTGCAACTCGTGCAAAAGCAGGTGGCAAATATCGGCTTCTCATCTGCGATGGCCACGATTCTCATATTAGTGGAAGCTTTATAGCTCACTGCCTTCAAAATCGAATTGTACTTCTTATACTTCCTCCTCATACCTCGCATTTGCTTCAGCCACTTGATGTTGCGGTTTTCGGTCCATTGAAAAAAACGGCTCACCGCAGCACTTTCTGATTTGAATCAAGCTCAACTTGTACGAATACAAAAGATTGAATGGATGGAGGCATATATTAAAGCTCGAGCCGACGTATGCCATCATCAAAATATCGAATCGGCATGGCGGGGAGCTGGGTTACATCCATTTAATCCACAGAGAGTGTTCCGTACACTGGGTCGAGAGTTTACCCCCGAAGTCGAAATATCCAAAGAACCAACCCAATTTGATATTTTTAACCAAGTCTTCGTCAATAGCTCACCCCCGGATGTAGCAATCTTACAAACAGCAAATAACCTTTTAAATTCAACAATTGAAAATGATACGACTCTTTCAACCCCGGTTCGTCAATACATTCGAAAATTGACGATTGGGAGTGAGCAACTTCGAGCTCAAAGTATTGTTCACCAACACGATGCGAATAATTTACGAGCTATTATTAAGAAACGTACGATACGTAAGAAAGGAAAGAGACTAGTTTTGAAGGGTCATTTTCATATTTCTACGCAAGAATTATGTGATGCAGTAGTGGAAGTCGAAAAAGCTACTAAGGTACAGACAATGAAAAAAGGAAAAGGGAAAGGGAAAGTAATTGAATATGAAACTGAAACTGAAGAGGATATTGGAGAAGAAGTTGAAGATGAATCTGAAAGTGATACTGGAGATTGTATTATAGTTGATTGTTGAGTAATTGAGATTTTAATAGAGTGGTTCCCCGCAATTAGACGCATTACGCCATTAGACGCATTACGCCATGACTTACGTTACTTCCTTAGTACTAAAGACAAATTGACCTTGTAATTTGACTCTTTTGCCTTTAGTTCTTTTCTTTCGAGTCTCAATTACCTCCTGAGCATCAGAGAGCTGTTTCCGAAGTAGGGCTATCTCAGCATTTTGAGATTCTACAAGCCTAGTCATTCTCTTGGCATATCGACGAGTTGGCGATGCAGGAGAACCACTGCTTGCTAGAGCTGTATTAAAGATCTGATTTGCTTGCCTTAGTTCTGTTCCATCTGGAGGAGAACTCCTGAGTATAGACAAGTCTAGGTCTTGATTGGGGGTTCTCATTTGTGGAGTAGAAGGTTGCTGGGAGGAGTTAAATGGTAATGAATCGAGTACTTTTCGTGGGGCAAAAGGTACTAAACCAGCTCCTCTCCAGCCAGCTTTAATATTAGAAGAATTCAATGCTTTTTTTCTAATATTTTGAAAGAGTTCTACCCATTCAGCTCTTTGGATTCGCTTTACACCAGCTCGAGAATATCGATCGACCTCTAAAGCATGATATCGTTTCATTGGCCCATACACCGCAATATCAAGTGGCTGAAGCAAGTGAGAGCAATGAGGAGGTAATATAAGTAAATCAATATCATTATCTATACAGAAAGCAATAAAGCTACCTGTAATATGGCTTGAATGGCCATCCATGATCAAAAGTCGAGGTCGGTCACCTGACACTTTCTTGGATTCTGGTTCGAAAACCCTTTTTAACCATTCTAATTCATGGCTATTTGAGGTCCATCCATTTGTACTAGTAGAGAACTGCCAGCTTTGAGGTGTGTCCTTTGGAATCCATGCAGAATTCGTATTCTGAGCCTTGAAAATGACCATAGGTGATAGAGCATTTCCAGCTGCATTGACACATTCAAATGCAGTTATCCATTCTTGCTTGCCAGCTGTAACTTTCCAATTCGATTTCTGAGTAGAATCGACTATAATGCGCGTACTTTGAGTACTTCCAACTCCAAATCCGGTTTCATCCATATTATACATATCATCTAATTCATACTTTCGCTCAATGAGACGCGTGCGAAACGCGTCAAACCAAGCCTGAATATTCTCCGGAGTTGCTTCTTTAGCCCGATTAGACTCTAATTGACGTGAATAGCATGTTTTAAGTTCTGGATGTCGTTTTTGGAATCTATAGATCCATTCGTGGCCTATAGGTGGAATTTCTGTCGAGGTAGGATTTCGAGATGACGCGACCCGAACGCGTCGAAGACGAATTTCGTCGGCCATTTCCTTCACCAACATAGGTGTAGCAGGGAATCCAGTGATGGTAAGTCGTGAAATCCATCGTACAAGAGTATTTTCTTCTGCGTTTGAAAGAATTTGAGCCATTTCGTGGGTTTGGGAACGTGTTTTCTTCCCAGCCAGCCTATCAGCTAGGGTAGACTTAGGGACTTCGAAATGCTCTGCAGCCTTTCTAATTGATTTAAATTCTTTCAATTGAAGTGAAATTATAGCCTTTTGAAGCTTCTCTTCAATTTGAGCAGATGTAGAAGGTGATTGGGTATGCATAATAAAAGTTATTGCGGTTTCAAGTTGGTGATGGGCTAAAAGTGTCCGAGTTCCCCATATGTCCGAGTTCCCCATACGTTACGTTATATTAATATTTGCTTAATACTTTATTTATTATTTAAAGTATATAATTTTTTATATTTAAAAGTATATTTTTATAAATTAATTTTTTTATATTTTTAGCTAAAACTAATATAATTTCGAATATAAATATAGAGAATCTTGATTAATAACGAGTTATTTGAGATTTAATTAATATTAATTAAGAAAAAGCTTTAGTTAAATTATAAGGGGTTTGAGAGATTCATTAATTTAGGTTGAAAGAGAGGGGGGTAAGTATATGAATTTGAATATCTAATTTCGAGAGTACAGCTTCAAGATTAAATAGAATTAAACCTATTCTTCGGAATTCTGATTTCATATTCTGAAAAATGATTGATTCTTTATATATAGTTTTAAAAGCTATAAAGAATTCAATCTTCGAAATATAATTAATATATACCTTAATAAATCCATTAATTTAATTATTATATGAACGTTTTAGATTACTAAAACAGTTAATATCAAATAATTAAGTTAAATGACTTAAATATAATAATAAATGTAAATATATAATATTATTCTCTTTATAATATATTTGAAAAGCTATTGATTTATAGTTTTCATATTTATTCAATACTAATATTCAATATTTACTCTTTCTTCAATTCTTAATATACTTGTTAAAGTATTTTAATCATTCTAAACTCGTTTTATTATTTATTCACTTATTAAATATAGGTTTAATAGTTTAGTCTATAGGAAAATCAATTTTGATATATTAATTAAAAAGATAAATCTATTTTTAAATTATTAGAAATAAGGGAATAATTTCACCCCTCTTCATTTCTATATATTATTACTATAGCTCATTCTCAATTATTTAATTATACTACCTTACTTCTATTATTTCGTTCAATACTAATTACTACTATTACTATATATATAATCCTTATTATAAAGTCTGTTTCATTGAAATTATAGAAATCTCTATTTGAAATACTATATTTCGCTTATATATTCATAATTAATTGAAATCATTCTTCAAGAAGCTTAGAATCCTTATAAAAAGCTTTTTGAAAGTTATAAACATAACTAAAACGTATCTTTAATTCAATTCAATACTTTACAAATCAATATGTCTAAAGCTTCCTAATATATTTCACACTTCTTAATTCGAGAATATAATTTGCTATATTTTTTATATTCTTAAATTTAAATAAAAAACCTTTCGAATTTATATTAAGAATATATTAAATAATCACTTTTTCTTTCAATTCTATAATCTTATAATAATTCGCTTAAATCTTTATATATAAAAATAAATCATCCATTTTATAGTTAATAATTATACAAGGTATATTATATAATTGAACAATTTATTAAATACTTAGTTTTTTGTCTTTTTAAAGAACTTCAATAACTAAAAATAAATATACTTCTTTATTTATAGATTTTATAATAAATAATTAATAAAACATATATTGAATATAAAGAATATAAATTGAGATGAAAGTGGCCCACTTGGTAATATAGCCCACTCGGTGTTAAACTACGTTATAGAATGTATTAAATAAATAATCTGATTTTAATACAAATAGACCTTTTTATTTGAAAATGATTGCCTTAAATTAAAAGTTAGAATTAGCTTTCGAAATTCAAGAAATTCACTAAAACCCTATTAATTAAAATAAGCTTTATAAACTACAAAGATTTAAATTAATCACATTAATACTTTAAAAACGATTTATTCAATATATAATTAAAGGATTGAAGAATTTATTACAATAATGAAAAGTTCACTTCGTCAAGCACTAATTCTGCCACCACAGGGTTGAACACCCTGGCTCAGCGTTCGAAGGGGGTAGATTTCAAGCTGCCCGAGAGAGAATGGTAGCATAAATCAAAACCACTTCAGGCTCTCACAATCAAAACACTATTGAATGTGATGAGTTGACTAACTACGATTTTTGCTTTCCGGATGATGCGTGGGAACGAAGGAGAGGAAAGGCAGTGATAGTGTTGGATGAAGAAGTGATTGGTTCAGCTTGTGTTCTAATCCCACCATCTGATGACTCTTTGGTCTTTCTAGGGCAATATGAAAACTTCATATCATCCCAAACTGTAGCAAAATAGAGATGGAGATGAAGAGCAAAAGTATAAGTAATCCTGATCCTAAATCATGTGACTGCAAATATTCTTCCTCAAAACTTCACCATAACCGCCAAAAGACATCACAACAACCTCAAAACTAGAGGAAAAGAGCAAAAAGAACGTTATTGGCGGTGCTGGGAATCGAACCCAGATTGAAGCGGGGATTGTGAGCCTGTAACAGCTCATCTTCGTGAAGACCCTGAGAGGAGAAACCACAACACCACGTGCTACCATTACACCACACCACCATCTTATGTGCACCCACTCGTCGCCAACCGACTTGATGATTCAAAATTGACTGAACGATGAAATGAGAGCTAGAAGCGACTGATTATGATTGGACAGCATTATGTAAATACATAAAGTTGACTGTGTCGAGAAATGTAGAGGTGAAACCAGAAGTCTCAAGTTTAAGCGAAATATTGTGGGGATCGGTAGGGCTACGGGAAATGACAGGAATAATTTCTAGATTGCTGGGATATTCTTTGCTGAAATTTGCACGGGCAAAATGATGCAATAATCTGGATTGCGTTTTGCTTTTTGATTGGTGTGTGGATTGCATGTGCAGGTCCTTATACGATCTGTCTTTTTGGAGAAATAAAAAGATGTTGAGTTTGGGGATTGATGAAGTCGCGTAACTTAGTGATATCTTGAAATGATCTGACAGTATTGGAAAAATTCAGAATGTTGGTAATGAACTGGACAACTCGGCCTTTGCTTTTTCTGAAGTCTGACTGGGGATCACTCTAGATAGTCCGTTTCCGCGACGTATTCTACAGATATGAAATTCATTTAGCTTCACAGTTTACAATTTACATTTGTAGTTGGGAACATACTAGAAAATCTTGATAAGATCATTCAGAAGATGGTTTCATCATGATGACATAGGGAATACAAGGTTTCTAGAATTTCATAATTTTGCCTTACGAATTATTTTAAATCAAGACCAAAGACGAGACGGGACAGTAATTCATGAGCAAGGTAAAAAGGCATTTATATCTATAAAAAGGCTATCGTGAGATAGAACAAGAAGTGAACCTCTAAACTGTCATCCATCAAGGTGAACCAAAATCTATCGCATCCAATTATCAAAGCCACAAAATCTCCTCTCTAATCCGTACACTTAAGACTGGTAGATACATTGAGAGTAGTATGGGTTCTGGACCTGGCAGTGGGTACCCTCAACACAGGTGGTGGATCCAGTGTAACCAATTCCTCCACATTGGTAGTAAGCAGCGATAGTGCTGCCGGTTGGGTAGGCAACACCACCAGTTCCTGAAGCAAAGCCAGTAGAAGCAATAGTTGAAGAAGTGCCAGTTGACAAAGTCGTTGGGTATGGTGGAAGGGAGTTAGCTGAGGTCTTGGAGGATGGAGCAACGAATGTGGAGGAGGTATCCACATCGGCACTCTTCAAGGTTGTTGGTACAACAGCGGCAGTGGTAGAGGTGGAGGCTTCTGAAGTAGAGGTTGCGGGTTTTGGAGTCACAGTGACAACGACGGTCTCAGAAAGGTGGTTTGTAAGGGTAGTTGTGTACAAGACAGTGCTAGGTGTGGCAAGGTCGGAGCTGAGTGCTGGTGCGGAGGTGACGACAGAAGCTTCGGAGCTGGTTACTGCGGCGGAGGTTGCTGCAACTGAAGATGCTACTGCAGAAGATGACTTGGTCTTGCAAGGCTTCTTGGATTTGGTGTGGGATGGCTTTCCGGTTGGGCGAGCGAGACCAGATGAAGCTCCAGTTCCAGATGGGAAGATTGGCTCCGATTCATTGAAGGCTCGGACTTGGTAACTATTTCGACAATTAGCAAAGTTTAGGGACTGACTATGAAAAGCATATTGTACTTACTGGCCACCAGGACGATAAATGTTTGTTGCCATAACAGATTGGCCGAGCACGAAGCTGGCGAGGATGACGGCGTTGCACTTCATTTTTGATGGGGTATGATTGTCGAAATCTTTATTGTTTGTTTTGTACAGAGAATCTGGCCTACTAATGTATCCTTGATGTATAAGAAGAATGTAAGAGATGGCACAGCCAAGGGATTGTGTAAGAGCAGGTCTTCGAAGAAGGAGAGACTGAAGGTGAGATACTTCGAAAGCTGGTAAAGAGAGAAGAGAATCAGATGAAAATCCAGAGACGAAGAAGTATTTGAACAGCAACAAAATGATAGTGGATGATTCCAGATCATTTGAAATGTGTGGGTCGATTTAACAGCCGCCCCTCCATAATTTAAGGTATATTGATCTGGTGGATCAGGAAGCTTGAATGAAAGCTCGGGACATATTTCAGCACTTGCCATGAACCAATCGCAATAAATTGGGGCTATATGGAAAAAGAAAACTGGCTGGTTATTTTCGTTCTTTTCCCCTGGCAAGATTGTAGCTGTAGTCAGCCATGTTTCCCAGTCTCACCACCGCTGGAATGTTTCATTGAGAATCAATCGTATAAGATTGACTTCATTTGTGCTATAATGTTACCAATCTCTTCGAAAAACAGCAAGACAGGTATTATCAATCTCTCAGGGGAAAAACCAGGGAGTTTACTGGTACAAATATATGAAAACCATCTCATGTTGGGTTATGGTGGGTTGGCACAGCTTGAGAAACTTTCGTTCTAGATTTCTTAATGACATTCAAGGATACATGCCTGCTCGCTAGTCCCGAATAGGTATAACGACGTCGTTTAATATAGTAGATTTGATTAACGACGTTTCAAGTTGATGATTTATAAAGTAAGCCGAGATTTTCCATTCAAAATGTTCCTGGTTTATGACGACAAGATACGCAGGATGCGCCATCAATCCTCTTTGCTTTAGAATCTTACTTGGTCAAAATTCGAAGGCGCGCTTACTCACGTTCAACAATATCGAATTTGATACCGCATCTCAGTCTAGACAGTCGAGCCGCCTTCGAAAGCCAAAAGATCGTGTGCATGCTCACAACTTCCTCGGCCACCGAGTCAACAACACCACCACTATCACAATCAGAACCAGCATCGAGAAGTTTCCTCAGATCGGATCTTCATTCTGTGATTGTGATATGCAAAGAATAAGCGGTTTCTTCGGATGTCCGGTTCTTATCAGTCCAATCATTCCATCAAATGTTTCCACGGACTGGGGAAGGGCAACCCTGTTGACTCCCTAGCATCACTGTAGCAAGGATTTCTTACAGTGATAGACCTTATCACATCATTATAATTATCCCTGACTTAGTGGAAATCTCGAACCAGAAACTTCAGCCAGGTAACCAAGTTGTCTCTTTGATACAAGATCATCACCGAGTAAAATTTTGATTATTCAGAGTTTCTATACGAGAAGTTGAAGAGAACCACATTTTGTTTCCGAGATTCTAATTTCAATTTGATTATTGAACACAATATATCGCTGTCGTGGCTGTTCGGTACATTGAAATTTAAGTGCTAAGGCTTCGAGACATTAATAATGATTGTACTAGTGTTGAGCGATTTGTAATTATATAAAGTATAATCATTACTAGCTTATTATAATATATAATGATAATCAAATCAATTATAGTCTTCATTATAAAGTGGAGATTTTGAAGAAAAATTGAAAGAGTTTAAAGGAATTTTGAGGATTATTTAGAATGAATTTTGAAGATATATAAAACCTAAATAAGAATATAAATCATTTGAAAATTATATACTATAATCTTAATATGATAATTTATAACGATGAAAGACTATTTTATTATATAATTATATAATAATCCCTCAAATTATATAATCCGTCCAACACTGGTTCATTGTACCATGGCTTTCTGACAGCGGAGAATTTTCTGGAACTTTAACTGAAGTCAGCTCTCACCGTTAGTTCTTCTTGAAAGTATGCATATATTGCGGCAATTTACTAAAATGAGATCGACAACCTAAAACTCCGTCCGATGTTTCCCCCCTTCAATCCACAATGATGAAAGGCTGGCGGAGTACTCCATCTTTCGATATCAGGGGAAGTTACCGAACGAGTCGTCGCTCCAATTGCACATTCCTCCACTGTCTATCACTAACCGCAATTCTGCTTGCTTGAGTCCATATCTTTATCAAACTGCTTGGACAACTATGAGCAATTTCATAGTGAGCTTCCTCGATGATTCCCTTGGTTCGTTGTCCCGCCCATGCAATGTCCTCTTTTTCAAGGTGTTGAGACCTTAATGGGATTGATCTAACGTACATATTTTGGGCTGGACTTGTCACAGAGCTTCATTGAAACATGGGAAAGCCCTTGGCAGAAGTTCGAATCACAACATCTCCTTCATTATCTATCAGACAATTTGTCACCTCGTTCTATCAACGCATTGATTCCGTTCACACGTTGCAAGCCTTCTTCTCCTTCTGGTGATACCTTTGGCAATAATCCGGGAGAAGTGGAAATAAGGTAAGTTCAAACAGAATCGCACGAGATGATGTCGCGAATATTGTCTTTTCTAGTCAAGATTTCCGTGAATTTCTCTCTGTTCCCACCCACAACGCGCGGTCCTTTATAAGTTGTCAACAAAGTACATCATAACATTGAAATCGACCTTTCGATCCATAATCTCAGAACCATGGTTGTTGGTTTGACGAGTTCTCTGCTGCAAGGCCTTAACGTTGGCCTACAAAAAACATCATTGTCTTTCGGGCTTCAAAAACGGCCTTGAATGATTTTGGCCGCCTCTTGTCATACAAAGCTCCATTCTATGTTTGGTTTTGAACGTCAAGGCACTATATTAGGCTACGATCGATTGGTACCGGGACGCTGGATATTGTTTCACGGATAAGTGCCAGCAAACGACCTCGTTTTTTTTTTTGAAAAAATTCTTGCTCGGAAGAGTTCTCGAGTAACTTAAATCGCCGTATACGCGGCCTTATCTGCGAGGAACTTTTGAATACGGCCTTCTTTTCTGGTATAAGTTTATACCATGAGTAACACAAGATCATGGTTGACCACACTCGTCTCATTCAGGCTCAAGGATCACAGCACTACACTCCATTCTAAACCACACGTATCCTCGGAACTGTCACCTGATCGATAATATTAGTCAATATGGCACGCAAGAAGGCAGACTCTAAAGCTTCCACCCATGCAATTCACCTTCCTTCAGATACAGAGTCATCAGGAAGCGATACCTCGTTCGTGGCCAAAGATAATAAAACTGGTAAAGAGTTACAGAAAATGAGTCGGAAAGTCGCAGGTCAACTTGCTCCGCATCGTCAGAAAGATCCCCCTACCCCCAAGAAGTGATGACTTCTAGAATATGATCGTTTCTGTTCGGGATCTCTGGACGACATTGTGTCTAAAAGGTGGTGTTTAATAGCGTGAATTGGTGGGTTCAGCAGTGTTTTCCATCATCATAATACAGATACATCGTTTTTTTGCTTATCTTTTTGTTTGGTTTGTAAAATTTCTCGCATATGGGGTATACTAGCATTCTTAATTTTCAAAGGATTTTAAAGAAGACTTCCGCGTCTGAGAACTTTCCTGAATTTGCGATTAGTTTCCGGTTTATCTTAGTATCTCACAGTATCTTGCATACTAACTGCTAGGGAACTTACACTTGAGCTTCGAAGTTTGCCGGCATCTCAACACGTATTTTCACCCCATTCAAGGGCCTACAAACGTTATTTAGTCCTCCAATCCTTATATATGAAGCAGGTTTGGGCTCTACTTGGACATTGTTCATTGCCAGATGTTCGGAAGGAAAGCATCAATTGTTCATGAGCAAGTGGTGATGCAGACCCTGTCTACACTATCGCGGCTATCTTACCTCTCTGAAGAGACGTAAAAGGTGTATCTCTTTACTTGAGAATCACTTTCTTGGGGTGCATGCAGACATGATTGATTAGTTCCACCCATCTGTAGCCCAATCGTTCTCCAATCTCAAACTGAATACTCCGATTCGCATAGTATCCTACATTATTCCCCTGACTAATTTTATATGAACTCGGATCATTTCCTGCTTTTCAGTACCGCACCCTCCATTTCAATAACTGTTATTAAGTCCATTCTTCTTTGGAGAGGCAGCTTACCTTGATTTGATGCCATCAACCAAGTTGGGTTCACTCCATTGTCATCGTCATGTACCTGAAGTCCTATAATCAAATCCTTATACCCAAAGGATCAATTCACAGCTAGCGCCAAAAAATTGATATCCCCTGGCATTAATTCAGAAGTAAGTAACCCTCGCCTTCCAACCGCAACCTCGTTCTCTTTGTCAAGTAAAACGTCTCCTTTCTTGGTTACTTTCATAGTTAAAGAAGAGTCTTTTGTTGTATCTAGCCAATCGACCGGGAATAAGAAATATCGTGCGAAACGATTTGTTTTGACAGAACTCATGTCGGTAGCACATACCCATTGACTGCCATGTACAAGTTATACCGGTCGGAACTTCAACATTTTTGCTCAATACAGAGTATAAAGGGGTCCCAAGGTTGGAACTGCAACTTTCGACGACTTGGGTGTGAAGTCAGAGGTGCTCCAGATGACTAATTTTGACTTTGAATTGCTCTGGTTCGGCTTGATGAATGTCGTCATATCGAAACGGAACATCATGCTACCTATTCATATGGCAGTGGAGTTTGCATAGCACAAGGTGAATTCCAAGAGTAGCATCATCTTTTCGTGATCTCGTGCCATAACTCCCGAGGTATAAACCCTGACAATTGCCAACAGATTCATGGCTGCCTCGGTCGATCGTATTCCCAAGAGATTTGCATGCTCGTGTGGTGAATTACTAATGTTACAGTATAGCAAAAGACAAAAGGAAAACAAGGCATGGATGGAGCTGAAGATCTGTAGCCATCTTTCTGGACTACTTCGCATCAGTGAATCACAGAGCGATGATTAATGCTATCTCGTTTTCGTTTTGACTGCCGAATGATTTTATTGAAGCACATCTCTCCACACCACTTTGCTTCTCGATTGCATGTAATACGTACACGACTACCAAAAAGTCTACTTGGGTATTCAAAAATAATGTCTGACACAAATGCAACTACACCACGAGTCTTCATCGCTCGACACGGTAAGTTGACATTCATACTTTCCTGGAAGCAATAGATAGTCAAATTCTGATGTTCCATCATATACAAGGTGAAACAGAATGGACCATCAACGGCCGCTGCACTGGCAAGGCTGAGATTCCTCTCGCCGCAAACGGAATTACTCAAGTTCAAGGCACGGGCGAAGTCCTCGTAAGCGCTGGCAAACCCATCGACCCGTCCAAATTAACACACATTTTCACTTCACTTCGCAAACGGGCTGTTGATACGTTATCGATGTTACTCGGACCTGCACATAAAGATCGAGTTGATCAAGAGAACAAAATCACCACCACAGAAGACATCGCAGAGTGAGATTATGGAGGTTATGAAGGCTTGAAACCCGATGAGATCAAAGAAAGCAGAGCTAAGAGAGACCTACCAAAATGGGATATTTGGACTCAAGGCTGTGGGGGTGGAGAGTGAGCAAAATCTATCGTGCGCATGTTAATTTGATGATTGGCTTTCGTATAGAGATTAACACATGGTGCTCAATCCAGATCGGCAGAAGAAGTACAGAAACGTCTAGATAGACTCATCCAGCAGATTTATGAGCTGCAGAGCCCTCACATAGATGGCAGAAGTGGCGAGCCTGCTAACATTTTGACAGTAAGATCTGATGTCTCGTTGAACGTTCATTTTAAAGTGGCTGGTTATGATTTGGATAGGTTGCTCATGGTCACATCTTGCGCGCGTTCACGAAGAGGTGGCTTCGATATGCTATGGACTTTCCATTCCAGATGATGATGGAGCCGGGCGCGATTGGTATTATGAGTTATGCACACCATAATATCATGGAGCCTGCTATTTTGGTTGGCATGGGATTCTATTTATCGAAGTGGGTTAGTTTGATCAGAAGGTTTGCAGGACAGGATGCGACTGACGAATATATTAATACAATGACTTATACTATTACTTCTTATAACATTCTACGGTTTCAATTGTCGCTCGGTAAAGATGAAGTGACATGACGTAGGATGTTCCAAGCACTGCATGACGGTTTGAACACAAGCATCAAACTGAAAGCCCCTTCTAACTCATTACTTTAGTGTCTTTCAAGTAGAATTGCTCTTGTATGTCTAGCTTTACCTCCAACCAAATACTAGGTATGCAAGAAAAAGTCTTCGCCACATTTTCCTTGTGCCTATTTTCTTTTCTGCAGATACGAGCAGACGGTGTGGGGGTAACCTGGTCTTCTCAGTAATGGAGTTTCATATTTTCTGCCCAGAATCAACTAAACTAACCTACTCGTTATGAACGTCTGCTTCAACTTTTCAGACAACGATCCACCTGAAGAATTCACTAGTTCTGAGAGATTTATATATCTGCATGCGACTTCAAAATCAAGTGTAGAGACTTAAAAGATGAGCTGTTTTACATACTCGATAAACAACAGACTTCTGTGCCTTTCCGACTACGGAGCGAGATGGATCTTAAACTTGGAGATCTGAAGGAAAGATTACTAGGGGCTGAGATATCATATGTATTAGAGATCTCTTCATCCTCGAGCTAAAAGGAGAATCTTTTCATGAGATTGGGCTTGAGATATTCCGCGTCCAATGACTTTTGAAGCGACAGACATCAAGCTTATGGCCAGAGACTAACTAACAAAGTGGACACCTAATTTCGATGACACGATTTTGTTTGGTAGTAAAGAGTTAAGCAGAGATGAATAGTATTTATTAATGCATGCTATACTAAAGCATTATCTCCTCCAAGGCCATAGGCCGAGACCGCAGTTAAATTTTCTCCTCAATACCCGATCGCCGATGCCAAGATGTGCTTTTCTCCTCCCTCCTTCATGTCAATTTAGCTCGAGCCTACAACACCCACATCTCCTTAATGCGATCCATCGCTTCAACTCCAAATATCATGCTATTTCAACCTAACCTCTCTCAATAATGCTCCCTCAACATATGCCCATCAGTAACCTTCCAATCCGTACATCCCCCATCCCCCATATAACCCTTCACTGTTTCTCTCCCTTACTTCTTCCCCTCCTCACCACCCTCATAACTATATCCCAAAGCCTCTGCTCCAGCATCATTATCCCAATCCTCCTTCTTCAATCCCTCTTCCACATGTAATCTCTTGAGATCCTGATGATTCCAACTTTGACGTCTGTCAAGATTGGGTTTCCAGGTTTCGACTGAAGATGGCAGGGTTTCGCCGCCAGAATTGCGACGCCCGTCGGGGATGGATACTTCGATGATCTCAGCGAGGTGAGAAGCTGTGGAGTCGGAGGCGGGCTTGGAATGGTGAGGGAGGGAAGCTTCGTCGCGGTGGTTGGGTTTGGGCTGTTGAGATGCGACGGATGCCATGTTGTTTTGTTTTGTTTGAGGTTGGCTTTGAGGTTGAAGTTGTTGAGAGTATTGAACGGGACAATAGATGGGCAGAGTATAGATTTTTTTTTCAATTTTTCAATTGAGAGACTGATCAATGGGTAGATTATCCAAGGAGGAAAAAGCAGCGTTGACTATTGATTTATTGCAAGAGGACGATTGAACCTGAGCAAACGGCAGGATAGCTTTATTCGTAATGTTTTGATTTTTGGAATGACGTCAATAGCTGTATAAGTTATGCTATCAAAATACGGAAACTGCGATGAGCTGTTGAGCTTTCGATTTTTCGTGCTTATTATTATAAAGGTGTTATATGGAAGAGGAAATATCAATCATCAGCTATTGAGTCGAATATAAATACCCCAAAGAAATCATTCGACCGAGGATATAAAATCAAATCACGAGACTTCAATCAACATACCGTCATCTAGCATACCACCTTTGATCATACCATCAATTAGCATGCCACCCGTTAGCATACCCGTCTCCTATCCACATATAGACATCCAATCAGCAAGCCAGCAAACAAGTGAATATCGATACAACCTTAGAAAGCAAGAACGATGATGGATAGTAATGACGATCTTCAGTTCTCAACCACCAAATAAGCTTCCTATTGATGATCTTACCCCTCTTCCCCAAGCTATCCTTCAAATCCACTCAATATTCATACAATCACCAATAAGAAATCCTTTGACCTGATGGGGAAACAGACTTCCATCACACATTGGCGCAGAAGTGGTATGCAACGTCTTCTTTCATACATGTCCCTTTCTCAAAACATGTGTTTCCAGAAAATAATAAGCTTCACATCTTTCCACGTCAGGATTGTCTCGAGATTGAATCGAAGTCCGGGTTCAATTGGAGGCACGTGTACTAGCGCAATGCGGGGTCGCTTAACCTTAATTATGGGGATCTAATCGATAACATTTTTTATTTTCTTATCGCCACTTTAAACCACTCGCTGCCCAGTGCACCCAACAACAACAACAACAACAACAACAACCTTGCGACTTCCTCAATATTTATGTTTGTTTTCCCTCTTACTCATTGTCGCAAACCATATCATCACATCAATAACTTCATACTTCTCTGCCTCTTATCAGATATCGATATATTAATACTCAATCTAATTGCGCCATTCACTTGCAACAACGGAACGGGTTTCATAAATGCTTTTTTGATGTTTTTAATACATGATAACCTCGTCTGAAACTCTTCAAAGTTACTCTTACCTCTCGATGCGCCGACTGTACAAGACCGTCTCGAGAGATATGCAACCAGCAGAATACAAACGCGAACTGATTAACTGACGCCTCGCTATGCAAATAAAAGGGTATGAGACCGGAACATCGCCTGATATCTATCATCCATCCATCCATCATCGATCGTATACAAACAGTTTTTTTTTTCATTATGCAATCCAACCATACCGGGACACGATCATCATAAATGTCGTTTATGTTACAGTTTGCGAATCGATGTTGAAATTATGAAGCCTTTACATCTCATGACAATTCGATTCTTTCCTTGAGCGAAACCTCAAGTCGTTGTACTTAAGCACATCTATGGAGTTCTTGGACGCTTCCAGTAATATTGCTGTGAAAAGGGTTAGATAATATGAATAGATCAAGTCAGGGGTCAGTATTACCTTGTGCTGCTTTCTACAGTTTCTCAGACTAGGTTTCCTTAATCCTTCTTGGACTGTCTCCTTTCTTGACTGATCGGTATCTTCGTCTGGGATATAGTAATATTCACTCTCAAGTGGCTTTCCCGCAGCGTCCTTGCCCTCTCGATGAATTTCGCCAATGAACGAAGTTCTGTTCAACATCTTTCGGAGATCTTCCTTTGCGAGGCCCTTGTTCTCCTTCTTTGAAGGACTAATACCTCTGAGATTGGATGGAAGGTTTCTGAGGATAGTCGACAATGGCATGGATTGAAGACGTGAATAGGCAAGTTGATTTGCTACATGGTTAATGACAGGAGTGACAGCACCTTCGTCAGTGGATGTAGAGCTGGATCGCTTCTCAGTAGATGTCTTAGACTTGTCCTCATCACGACCACGAGCTTCTTGGGAATGTCCAGCTGTGAACTTGGCCATTCTCGAGGATAGATTTTCACCAAATGGACCGAAGGAGTGAACAATGGGATCATTTTCTTCATCGGGGTCTTCGTCTGGCTCACTCAACTCACTCTCTTGACTAGCTGGGAATGATGCACTGAATGATGTTGCAGCGACTGTTGGTGAGTATACTGGTTCAGGATCTTTAGACTCAATTGCTGGAGCTGGCTCTGATTTGTCTTCATATACTTGGATGAAGGTCTTTTCTGCATCATCAGCAAAGAGGTTGGCCAAATTGGCAGAGGAAAGGGTTTGACGAGTAGGTGTTGGTGATACTGGCGACGAATGACGTTCAACACGACGAATTGGACTTGAATGAATAATGTCACCCTGAGCAGTAACGGCAGTAACTTTACCCCTAGGAGAACTATCTTCACTCCACGACGGAACTTCTGTTGGAGCAGCAGAGTCAAGATTATCAACTTGTGGCCAAGCAACCAGAACCCTTGCATCCTGAACATCCAACATAATCTCAGCATTTTCTGTTTCCGAGGTAAAACTATCTCCCTTTGCCAGCTCCCATGTTCGACCTTGACAATGTAACTTTACTCCATTCCATCCACAACAGATAATCTCAATCTTGTTCGACTCGAGGGGAACCGTAGCAGCAATATATCTAGCTTTGAGATGAACACGAGAGATGAGACGATTGGCGGACAATTGATAGTGGGAGGAATTGCTTGATCTACCCATGAGAAGAGACTCTCCATCTTCAGGTAGAGTGATTGTTGGCACAGCTGAAAGGGGGGCCCGCTCGACAGAGGATCGACTTCGATGGAGACCGGCTCGAGCGTGTACCCCTGGAGGAGGAGAGGATGAAAGAATACCAGTTGCAGAGGTAGGAATTGGAGTTGGATACTTAGTGTAAGCTGATTCGAATGCTGATGGTGAAGTACGAATTCTCTTGGTGTTACGTCCTGGCAGACTTGGAGAGGAAGAAGGAAGTGGCTCGAAAGGTGGAAGTAAGGTTGGTGCTGGACGTTTTGTACCCGCCAATGCTGGCAAGGTAGGTTGAGCGTTAGCCTTACTTGGTGAAGAGTCCATCATGATAAATATCCTTTGATCACGAATGATGAAAGGTAAGAGTAATTTTCTTCAAGGTGGATATCTCAGACCGCGACCTAAACGCGGTGGGCGAGTTGAGATTGTAACGCGAGGCTCATAAGATTTTGAGCGACGCCGAGGACGGTAAAGAAGATTTGGAGAGAAGTATTTGGTAAGACAGCACTAAAAGAAGTGAAGACCTATAAAGTAGAATGTAAAGATTGTAGAAAGACGAGACTGAGTTTTGTATGGGCCTCCGACCAGGTCTCTGATTGAGAGATGGATAATCGGGAAAGTTGAAGAGGAGGTTAAGAAAGTTCCCAGACCCATCGGTACCCAGACGCGACCCGCGTTGGAGTCTAAAAATGCTCATTGGCCGCTTTAAAAGATTATGAATTCTGCTATTTCTACGACCTGCATTGAACTGAACTGAACCGCACATGCATTTTTCACTTAGAGATAGGTAGGTAGGTTATAATACAATTCTGAATTGAGAAAAAGGTGGTGAATTTATATGATGAGTGTTTGATCTTTTTCAATGTGTCATTCATTCACTTACCTATTATATGAATACCTAGTATGATTTAAAAATGACTTGAGTGACTTTCGTTTCAGTCAATGTCAATTGGAAAGTCTAGTACAATGTTTATAGACATTCCATCTCCATAACTATCTACTCGGTGGTACTCTAATACTCACTCTACTCTAGTTCTCTACCACGTCTACCTAGTAATAACTTTACCAAAGCTCATTTTTATATCTCACTATAATTCACGTCTAGTCCTACACATAAAACTCAAAGCTTCCAATAGTCTCGAGCCTATTATATGCAGATTTATATGTATACTAGGCAGGTAATTGTATTTATACTAGATTTTACACAGTCTGCCTAGGTACCTATACAGTAACCGATATCCCTGCATCGTGCACGACCCTGTATCTTGCACGCTTTAATTTATTGAATTAAAAATTGATTATAAATCCAAAACTATTTATAATAATATCAAAATTTATAAAAAACAAATTGAAGATTAATGAAATATAATAATTAGTTTTTAATGAATTTGAAATATTAAATAGAATATTAATTGATTTAAAAAATAATATTTTAAGATATTAATAATTTAATAAAAATTTATATTAGAATGAATCTATATTATTAAAAATAAGTTTTTCGAATTGATTTATATTATTATTATTGAAAAAAAGTTTGAAATTTTGAAAAATATGAAAAATTAAGTTTCAAATACAATTTCAAAAATATATATAATATTTAAAAAATAAAAAGAATTTAAAAATTATTTTTAAATTATTTTAAAATATTTCTTTATAGATTTTAAGAATCTGAAATTGTTAATTGGATTTTAATTAGAAAATTAAACTTTTGTATATTAGAAAATCTATAATATAATAATAATAAAATTATATAAAAATAATAAATAATTAAAAATTATAACTTATTATATTATAAATTAATATATAAAATGAAAAAATAATAAATGAAAAAATATATTCTAATTTCTTGATGAATAAGTTTATTGGTTTTTAAAAAAAAAAAAAATATTATAAATCCATATTTAAAAGAATTTTTTTATTTAAAAAAAGTCCTCAAATTTTATAATATTCCTAATAATTTTACAGATTAAATATAATTATAATTCAATATTATAATATATTCTGTTTTTTATTAATATTTAAATTAGTTCTATTTTTAATAAATTTAAAAGAAAAATCTTTTTTAGAAAAATCTTATTATTAATTATATAATCCTAATATTTAATTTTTATAATTCTTTTAATAATTGATTATATATATATATTTAATAAAATATAGTGTTTTTTGATTTTCTAATTAAAACTAATTTATTAATAATACTATATAATTAAAAAAATTAAAAATTATTATAAAATACTTGATTTATAATTAATTTTTATTTTAAAAAAGATTATAAAATACTTGATTTATAATTAATTTTTATTTTAAAAAAGATTATTTATAAAAACTTAGAATAATATATTGATATAATATCAAATTTACAATATAAAAACTTAATTTTTTCAATTCTTTATATTAAAATATATTCAAATTTATAAAAAAAAAAATCAATTTTCGTTATTCCTATTAATAAATAAATTAATATATAATATTTTTATATTAATAATTTTAATATTGAAATTATATTATATATAATAATTATTTTTATATTTTAATTACATTATAAGGAATAAATAGTAATATAATATATTATTTATAATTATTAATAGAACTCAATAATTGATTGATTATATATTGAATTTAGAATATCTTTTTAAAAGAAATAAAAGTGTGTACAATATAGGGGCGTGCACGATGTAGGGATATCGGTTAATACTCTTTCATAACTTTTATACTTTACATTCTTCTCGTCTCTCATCCATTCATTCCAGCTCTCGTCACCAACCGCGAGTTTCCAAGGCCAGTCAGCAAATTTTTATATCTCATCCTTACCACTCCACCACACGCGACACAGAACCCAGTTCCAACTTCCACTTCCAGCCTCCTTTGAATATCTACTTTCGTTTCGTGCTCGTGTAATCGTGCGTGCTTTTCATACCTTGTGCTTGGTGCGTTCCCAACGCGAGGTGCAAGATTTTCTTACGCGCTGATTGACTGAAAATACTTTTGGGAGAGGGTTATGTATGGATGGATGGATGGATGGGTGGATGGATGGGTGGGTGGATGGATGTACTGAATAATAAGGTATGGAGGATAATTTATGTTATATTATGTCAGTATATATATATACACCCTACTAGACAGGTAAATGAATGTGATTCCGAGATTTGAATCAGAGCAAGGTAGTTGATGCAAATTGGGGTAGACAAGATATGTAAGGACACCTCTCTTTCTGACAACTGCAGATTTCACATGTACTGAATCACTTCCTACATACACATCACTTGATACATGCATTTGAATCATTTGGTTGCAGACCGCTGCGTAGGGTATGAATTGAGACAATCCGAAGATTGGGTTGGGTTGAAGTCGGTGTGAGGGTTTATTTTGGGCGGAGGATCATATGAATGGATAGCGGGAACTCCCAAGCTGCATATCGACTCGGGGTTTTGACAAGTTGATGTGTCTGAGATTGAATACATTTGTCATAGATAAAACTAGATTTGTTCAAATGAAACCGTACTAGGTAGGAATGAATCCATTCATATCATTCTCATAATTTTTGGTCTATAGCAGCTTCATTCATAATTCCTTATCGTAACCTGTAGCCTTGCATCGACATGTCTTCGCCGGGCGATAAGATACGGCAAACGAGGAAAATCACAAACGCAATTCCAAAGCCTTGTCGGAGAAGTTGCAAAGAAAATTCCGACGCCAAAGAAATTTATCAAAATCAAATCGCAAAAAATCTTATCGTAAGAAGCTTGCGAGATTTGTACAATAACTTTTTTTTTTATCAACTCCAAGAAAGATTTGACATTTGCGCTTTCTGTCATTTCGTATAACCAGGAAATTGCCAATTGGAAGAGAATCTATCATTCAATCTCAAAGTTCTTCATAATGGCACCTAAATCTACTACCTTGACCACAAAGGTCGAGAGTGGTTCTCCATATCAACTTAATCATGATCAGGTACCTTTTGAATTTTCACTCCCAATCCAATTGACATATACTCACACATCATAACAGGTATTGAAAGCATCCACTGCACTACTCAAACACATCTCTACCAGCGAGGCCGAAAAAGCCAAAAAGGGAGGAGCTCAGAATCTCCTCGCCGAAAACGACGACGACGACGCAGAATCCACACCCATCTGGCTCACCCTCACCACCAAGAAACACATCAGCGACAAAACCAAGCTCAAGCCCGCCAAAGTAACCGTCCCCCACTCCCTCAACACCTCGACCACCACGACCATCTGTCTCATCGTCGCCGACCCCCAACGCACCTACAAAGACATCGTCGCCTCGGCCGCCTTCCCCGCCGAACTCTCCAAGCGCATCACCAAAGTCGTCGGCGTCGACAAACTCAAGAAGAAATACAAGCAATACGAAGCCCAGCGCAAACTCTTCGCCGAGCACGACCTCTTCCTCGCCGACGATCGCGTCATCACGCTCTTGCCCAAATTGCTCGGAAAATCCTTCTACAAATCTACCACCAAGCGTCCCATCCCCGTCGCCATCCAAGCAGAACGTTCCAAGGCCGACGGCAAGAGAATCGCGCGCGCCAAGGGCGAAGATGCACCGAAATCTGCTGAACCTAAGAAAATCGCAGCGGAGATCGAAAAGGCGATTTCGAGCGCATTGGTTACGTTGAGCAGCTCGACAAACTCGGCGATCCGCATCGGATACGCGAGCTGGGATGCGGCGAAGCTAGCGGAGAACTTGGAGGTGGTGGTCGATACGGTGATTGAGAAGTATGTTCCTAAGAAATGGAGAGGCGTGCGTGCAATTCATGTCAAGGGACCAGAGACCATGGCGCTCCCCATCTGGTTGGCGGATGAGTTGTGGGTGGAGGAGGAAGATGTGTTGGATGAGAGTGTGGTCAAGGAGATTGAAGAGAGGGTTTCGGAGAAGAAAAACAAGAAGAGGAAGAGTAGGGGTATGGACGCTAGCGAGCTCGAAGGAGGAGAGGAGAAGAAACAAAAGTTGTTGGAGAGTAATGATGATAAGTTGGACCAGGAGATTGCGCTTCGAAAGGAAATGTTGAAGAAGCAGAAGGAGGATGCGGCAAAGGAATTGGATGCTGTGCCTGTCGTGGTGAAGAAGACTAAGAAGACTAAAAAGGTTGCTGCTTAGATGAACTTCAATTCGGGTCAATTTAAAAATTCAAAAGTTCTAGTCATCGTTCCTCGTTTCAGGCTCGAGGAATGGAGAACGAAGGAAAAGAAAATGGGGTTTATATTAAATCACAGGCGTTAGAGGCGCAAATGTATGTATGTTTGTTAGTAGATTAGACTTATCGTAATGAAAGGAAATCTTGTAATGGATTGCATAGGTACTGGGTATTTGATTGCATTTTTTGAATGGTTGTGAGGTTTTATGTGATCGCTTGGGAGGAAAGGAAATGTATAATGCTGCACGTGAGGTGTCGAGAGAAATAAATTAATTGTATACGAAATTGAAATAAAGAGATGCCATAAAAATATCTGAACTTCGAGGTCTCTTGCTCGCCAAATCGAATTTCGAGTGAATTTCAGATAATGCAAACTTCCAAACATATAATGAATTCTCCAGCGTCAAAGTATAATTATCCATTTCATGCTCCCCATAAGTAACCTACCAAATTATCAACCTTCAAACTACTCAAACTACTCAAACTACAAATCTCAATTTCGACCATCCGTGAGAACAAACGCCCGCATCGCCCATCCTACGCCCGGTATTTAAAACTACAAATGCTATCTTTCCACTCCATAACATGACCACTTTGCAAATTCTCCGAAAATAACAAATCAATCCCACCTGGCCCTAATGGCCGTAACCGAGCCCCTTTACAATTCCTCTTCATGTCCGGTCATCTCGGTTTGCCTTTGGCCAAATTTCTTTCCTGCTGGACCAAAGTACTCCTTGAAGGCCTTTTCTAGCATCTCTTCTCCTAAAGTCATATGACCTCCTGGAATGGTTTCGAAAACCAATTTTCCGGCTTCATCCAATGTCTTCAAACCTACCCAATCTTCTTTGTAAATGGCTCTTTCTTTCAGTGGTGTAACTTCCGTGCCGTTTACTTCAGCCCACCATCCACTTTCTTTAGGAATGACTGTTGTATCGTCTTCAAAGACGTACATTACGAATCGTTCCAACTTTTCCATGTTTGATTTATATGTTTCGTTCTTGAGAACACGCTCATTATTAATATCGGCGAGGAAATTGGAAAACTCAAGGTAGGAGTCTAGATTTTCGGGATCTCTGAAGTATTGAGCGGGTACGAGACGAGATTGTACAAATGTTGACCAGGTGTTGGAACGTAAGAGGGTTTGAGCACCTCGACAGAGGAAATCGGTAGGACCACAGGCTTGGAAGGATGAAATGCCGTTGTGCTGGGAACCGAAGGTTAGGAGGGAGCGGATGGGTGGAGAATTGCAGCGGGATATGTAGCCGCGTAAGAACTGGCCTCCTTGGGAAAATCCGATTGCGTCGACGGCGGGCGCAGTGGAGAGAATAGGATGGGAGGCGAGGTCTTGGCAGACTTTTTCGATTTGAACTTGGGAAGAGAGTTAGTGTGGTATTTCAGGAGAATGAGAAGGTATGCTCACGAGTAAGATTTCCAAAGAAGGTAGCCGTCCTATCTGCAGATGCATCATCATCTACATGAATATTGTAGACAAAAGTCCCGGGGTGGATAGCTTCAGCTAATTGTCCAACTTGCGCAAGACCATCCGCTTTGTAGTTATCACCAAGTCCATGCCAGATGATCAAGGGTAGTGGGGTATCATCGTCGTCGCTGGATGATTTTATGCTTTGGCGAGTCTTTCCGGATGAGGTGAGGTTAAATATATTCGGAAGGGGACTATTTTTATCGTAGACAGAGGCGTGTTCATCATGCGCGAATGGAAATTCGAGGATACTTTCAGGTATAACGATAGCGTTGATGAGTGATGCGCTGCTGAGCAACGAGATAATTTTGGTAATGGGCGCCATGTTGGAGAGCTTTGGTGGCGGGTATGAAGATGGGAGCTCTGAAGATAATGGTTTTGATCTTAACTGGTGTAACAATTTACCAGAAGCTGTCGACTTCGTGAATGTTGTGGGCTAAGGTGATGAGATGATATATCTTGCAGATAGAATCTGCTTGTCCAGCTGAGGAAGATGACCTTATTGATGTTCCAGCTGAAATTGGGGCTTAGTACGTACTTGAAACCTTGATGGGCCATCCCCACAAAGCTGCTTTATAGTAGAGACCTTAGAGGTACATTTTGCCGACATTCTGCCGTACAGAGGAAGATGGTAAATCCGTCTGATATCCATCACTTCTATCAGTACGCAAGTTGATTGAATTATTTTGTATCAAAGTCTCGCAACGTATTTTCCTTCCGATCAAACCAAAGAACAAACTGGGAATCTCGGGCTATTGAAGGAACCTCATTTCAGTGGCGATCAACGAAAACTAAACTGAAAGAAAATTTACCATCCAAATCGATTTGCGACAGAGCTGAATATTAAAGTTCGACTACGAAGGCATTGACTGAAGCGCGTTACTACTTGCAGTGCGAGAGGTTCAGATTATCGCGAGTTTGAGTTCGCCCGAGTTTTATATAGTCAAACTTGGAGAGCTGGAAAGCTATAACTGCAACCGTTTGTCATTTCTTGCACAAACTTTGAGGCAAGCTTATACCAGAGACTGACGGGAAACCGAACGTAGATGCGAGGGGCCCCTTGGTCGACTTATTCCCAGAGATCCTCAACCATCGTTCCACATATTCCTTCATCAATTTACACTTCTCTTGCAATGGCACCCGCACCAATGGCGCCTGGTCCAGAACCTTCCCAGGTCAACCCTACGGGTCCTCACCCATCGTTCATTCAAGTCGCCAAACCATATATGTTCCAGCAACATGTCAATACCAAACTCATGACCATTGGCGCAAATCCTACGCGTGAAGATCAGTTTAGGTTACAGGGTGTGACTTGGATAAATGACGTTAGGGTTGCTTTACAGTTGTTAGTATTACCCTGACTTTCGCGGACACAGAGTATTAACTTCTATAAGACCAGTGCGAACCTTTTGTACCGCTGCCACTTACTTTCATCGATTTCGACTTGTTCACAAAGATACAGAATACCAATACCAAGATGCAGCCGCTGCTGCACTGCTAACGGCTTGCAAGATTGAAGATACCCTTAAGAAGTCCAAGGATATTATTTGCGCCGCACACAATTTGAAACATCCAGCTGCAGAGCATTTAAGCTCCGATGATACTGTATGTTCACCACATCCTGATTATAGATGGCTGCTAATTGAAGTAGATCTTTGAGGCTCCTTCTAAGGTTGTCATTGGTCTTGAACGTCTTATGCTTGAAGCATCTAGCTTCGACTTTCGTGTTCGTTACCCGCAAAAGCACCTCATTAAACTTGTTAAGAATGGTGGAATCCAACGTGATGTTGCAGAAGTCGCCTATCAAGTCATGCTAGATCTCTACCGAACATTTGCTCCTCTCAAGCAAACTTGTTCTACCATGTCCTTTGCTTGTGTTGAACTAGCGACATTAATTTGTGAGAAGCAAAAGGGTTGGAGAGGCCCAAGTTATAAAAAGTGGTGGACTAGTCGATCAGAAATTGTGGAAACGATGTTAGATTTGTTAGATCTTTACACACATTACCAGAAGCAGTCTATCGTTGGTCCTTTACACAATATCGAGAAGTTCATAGGTATTCGGATTAAGATCAATCAAGAGCTGGAAGAAAAGAGATTACCAAGACACACCGAACACCACGAAGCACCACGAAATAATGGGGTGCGACATGCTCCCAATACTCCTGTTACACCAGCCAGCCCAGCAGACTTACGATTTAATGGTCATGTTGCATCACCAGCGAACTTGAGCCCCAAATCGGTAAGTTCAGGTTCGAAACCGCCCGCGGCTATTCGTGGTCAAAATGGTACGGTACGTTATATGCTGGATGTGGCTAAAGCCAAGAATGAGAGAGACACGGTCGATACATACTTTCGGGATGAATATGAGGGATATGAAGTGGAAGTGGAAGAGACGGTACCAGTGGAGCCAATACCCACTCATCATACTCCCAGAGAACCGCATCATGGACGACATCATGGGGGACATGGACACGGACATGGCCATGGACATGGACGAGATTATCGACACTTTAACAAACGAATGCGAAGATGAAGAAAATGACCAAAGAAACTCGTTACAGGAAAATTTGATATGGCGTTCGGTTAAAGAAGGATATCTTCAAAAAAGTCATTGCATAATAGGAGTTTAGGGATGCTTCATGGGAGGTTTTGGGAGTTTTCGGGAGCGCAGGGAAGATACCAACTTATTATCAATAGTCGGTAGATGTATATCTAAACGGGCGATAGGGATTCAACGAATGTAGAATTTTATTATAACTTCAATAAGTGTCTGATGAATGTGATTTTTTTTTTTCATGATTTCCATGTAGAATCGTTATACTCGAATGCTCGAGTATTTATTATATTAATTCTTATCATGAAAAATCGAATACACAAAGATGATTGGATCGAATAGTAACTTTACGTTGATTCGTTATGAGCATTTATTAGTAGGTAGCACGCGAGCTGTGTTCTACTCTGTAAGTGAAGGGAAGAGGAGGTAAAAGTTGCGGGTGAGATATGTCATGTAGGTATTATTAATAGCATGTGAAGATCAATTTTGGAGCCAAAATCAATCGGGGCTCAAGGCAAGGGTTGAACTTGAACAGACAGACAGGGTGGAGTGGGTTATGTATGAATGAATTGATTATGACGATTTCTTGCGCAACACAAGTTTCAACTGGTTGACCAAGCCACACTGTGAAGATTTCTTGGGTGGGCAGGTAGGTAGGTCGTAGGTTTGGAATGGAGTCTAGATGGCGGGTGAGTATATGTAGGTCGGTAGGTAGGTATGGTATGTTGGTATGTTGGTATGTAGTATGTATGTAGGTATGATATCTATTGTATGTGTGATGGAAAGTTGGAATCAAGGAAAGTAACTGGATTTCTGAGAATTACCAATCTATGCAGAACAGAGAATTGAGTACCTAGGTAGTGTAGTTGTTTCTTTATGAGTGAACGTAAACTAGTACCTAGGTATGGAAATGTTACTGTTAACTTATTGTAAATATTTGTAAATCATAATTACCTAAATTCTATATTCACGATTACCCTTTTACTCCCAAATACTTGTATATTTCTACCAGTTTCATTGGATTCCTTATCCCTTTACAAAGAAGGAAAAAACTTACTTCATCTCGACTTGACTGAATACAGAAAGAAGTAAAGAATCCAAGCTCATCTATCAAACCAATCACGTCAAACTACTCACAAGTGAGTGATTATTGAGTGACTGATGAATGAATGAATGAATGAACGAACAAATAAAAGTGACGCAGTACAGGGATTTTTAACTAGTTCAGCCATGTTCCAGTAGCTTCTTCCCATCAACCAAGAAACCTGTTGACACAACTACAACTACAACTACAACTACAACTACAAACTACATCTTACTAAAACTACATTAAAAACTACCAATCTTTCCTCACAACCATCAACAATTCTACATCACAATTACACACATCAATCCATATACCACACAACAACTTCAATCAAAGTAATAAAGGTGTAATAATACACTTGATTCCTTCAACAAGGAGAAAACTTCCATCAACAACTTCAAAATGGCTCCCCCACCTTCTGCCGCTCTTCCACTTCAGCAAAGGCTCATACAAGTCGCGCAAACATTACAGTGTAAGTGGAAGCTTGTCTCAAAAGATGCATAAAGATCTATACTGACTATGACATTGTTACAGTTGCTTGGTTCGTAGGGTATGTCGAATTTCCTATTGTTTCTTCCCCCGCGTCAAAGAGAGCTGTCAGCTCGTTGGAGCTTGGATGATATGTGGTCTTTTCTCACAGTTTTCCACACAGCTTCAGAAACAAAAGCTCAGGATTCTATCTGCGCAACATGATGGCATACGATTTCCATAGTACTTACTAACTCTCAATAATAGACATCTCTCCCTCCTTTTCTGCATCATCAGATATGGCCTCTCATACATAACTTTCAACTACTATTCGAGATGGGCTACCTTTTCTTATCGTACCGCCTTTATCTCCGCCGCTGTTACCTACGGGATCGTGGTTTACAAGGCATTCCGTGCTCGCGCCAGAGCTGGAAAAGCAAATCAAGCTGGTTTGATCTCCCTCATCGCTGATGAGAATGTTCAATACTTGGGTACGTGCTTTTTCTCCTCATCTTGATGATTAAAATCTAAGACATGATAGCTATGGCACTCGTATGGCTCTTCTCCAAACAATACCCTCTTGCCATGCTCCCATTCGGTGTTTACTCTGTCTTCCACGTCGCAACTTACACCCGTACCAACCTCATCCCAACTCTTCAACCAGCTCCAGCAGGTACCGACCCCAAGGCTGCTCCAAAGCCAAACGCTATGGCCGATACCATTGGAAAGTTCGTCAAGGAATACTATGACACATCCATGGGACTTGTTGCTCTTCTTGAAATCATTCTCTGGGCTCGTATCTTCCTCTCCGCCATTGCATTCCAATCTGGTTCCTGGATTTTGATTGTTATCTACACTGCATTCCTTCGCTCAAGATTCGCTCAAAGTGCATTTGTCCAAGGTCAATTCAGACAAGTCGAGGCAAGAATCGATAGCCTTGTTGGTGCACAATCTACTCCTCCAGCAGCAAGACAAGTTTGGGAAGCTGTCAAAGGTGGTGCTAGAACATTCCACGATGCTACCGACGTTGGAAAGTATGTTGCCGGTGCTCAAGCTCAAAAGAAGACATCATAAACGAGAATTGTTGATCCCAACACGAGATTGATTTACCAGTCAAGAGATCTCTGGAAGTGTAGGTGAAGCACGAAAAGAATCGTCTTTCGACTTGGAAGGATATTACAGACATGAATGTTCAAAAGTGAGTATTGTCAGCAATTCAATGATGAATCAAATGTGTCAGGGGACATCATACATCCGGGTGGTTTATACATCATGATTAGTTGTCTAGGGTCGTTTATTCCGGATAGTAGGAAAAGCTTGAAAAATTGAGGTGTGGGCAGTAAGGATGGACGATGTATGCGTTCTTGGTATCCGGGCTGCTTCTCTTTTTGTTTTTACTGCAGCGAGGGAGTTATTTTTGTGCACTTGTTTTATGTGGCGTGTATACAAAGTCTACTAATAAAGATTTCATGAATTTCATTTCGTGTTTCATCTATGCGTGATTTATGATATGAGGTGAAGAGGAATAGGTTGTGGATTGTAAGGTGATTGTGTATAGTGAAGAAGTTAGTAACCGAGAGATTAGTAAATAGGTAGGTGTTGATATCAGCTCTTTAAGTGATATCAACAATCAATATATCAAGTCGAAGGGAGATATACACAACCGGGGAACTGGACTCTGGATGAAAATTTATGGTTCTAATGTATTCCGGATGTAGCATTTCCGAAAGAGAGAGGGAGTAAGATAGATTTTCATGGTATTTGTTTATTGATTTGGAACAATCTTGTGGGAGTTTTGTTTTTATGAGGTTTTGTTTTTTGAGTTTATTTGGATGGGTTGGTTGAGTAGGTTGGTAGGTAGGTGTTCAAAGTGCTTTGTGTGAATGGGCTTGGTGGGTTGGATGAGTAGGTAGGATGAGTAGGTAGGATGAGTAGGTAGGATGAGTAGGTAGGATGGGGAAGGGAGAGATGGGATGGATGGGTTGAGTAGGTAGGATGAGTAGGTAGGATGGGGAAGGGAGAGATGGGATGGATGGGTTGAGTAGGTAGGATGAGTAGGTAGGATGGGTGGGAAGGATAAGTAGGAATAATGGGTAGGATGAGGAGGTTAGGATGGGTTGAGTGTGTTTGATGTTGGTGTGGATGGTTTCTGGGTGGGCAAGGAGGTTGGAGGGGTATTGTGGGTTAGAGGGGTGAAGATGGTTAGGAGGTTGGGGGGTGGTGATGAGGGATGAGGGATGGGATGGAATAGGAGGGAAATTTGTCTGGTACATAGGGGTTGGTGATTGGGTGATTAATGATTGATGGTTGATGGTTGATGATTGATGATTGATGAATATATGCATGTATATGGGAGAGAGGGAGAGAGGGATGGTGATGAGCTGTTGATTGAGGAGAGGAGGAGGAGGAGGAGAAGTTCCTTTGTGGGTGGTTGATGGATTTTGATGTAGTAATCCAAAAGAGTGTGGTGGGAGAGCTACGAGGGTGGTGTGTGATTTGAGAGAAGAGGGAAAGGGTCGCGATGGTGGTAAGGTAATTTTTGATTGGGTTGGATTGAGAGGACATGAGAGGAGTATATGAGAGGAGCTTATGAGAAGTACTAGGTATCTGGAAACTTTAGACATGTGTTTATATAGCTAATTATAGATTGGGTGGAAGTTCAGTGGACCTATATACCTGAGTCCTGAGTAGGTGTATGTATATATATAAACTTCTTAAATCTCTGAATTCTTGTATTTTGTCTGAGGTGATTAGGGTCTGGAGTTGGAGTTGGGTTTGGATCTGGGTAGCAGGAGGAACAGGAGGAGGAACTATGACTGTGAATGGTGTGGACGGTTTGTCTGTTGGGTCTGCCAGGTCCGCTGGAATAATGAAGGGTGAGATAGGTTGGGATTTTGATGGTAGGGTGTGGGACGAGATGGGATGGAACTGGCACAGAAAAGTCACGTTTTGAAAGTTATATTTTTTAATCCTACCCGCCTTCTCGGCTCACAAGATCGATGGAGTACTTGGGTAGGTATGGGTTTCTAGGCTGGGCGACTTCGTCAGCGGTCGAGGCTCCGTAACATGGTTATCAAACCTTACAGACTTGATAGCTCAAGCTGCGCTACTTAAACATAGAACTGAGCTATCTTCACATTCTAGGTATGGATCTGAGTATACTGATCAAAATCACTGCAAAATCATGTGACGGTAGTTACACAGTGCAGGGTCTGACAGATCGAGAAGCCACTCGACCTTAAGAAGTCAACCTCTTTCCGCAATTTGTTTTAGCCCTAATGCTTCATCAACTCTTCTATCATTTTCCGAACATTTAGATATGTTGATTAGGATATAACAATTGAATTTTCTTAGTTTATCGGTTTCACGATATGCCGATCGATCAATCATCTCCGGTGCCGAGAGCTATTGCTGAGCTTTCTCCTAGTATCAGCTATAATGGTAACGATCATGACACAAGCCTTGGATCCCTTTGCGAATCATGTTGGGGAATAGATTGGTCAAATATTACAGACTGGGCAAAGTTTGAGGGGGCAGAAATTTCGATGGTTTGCCCGAATGGACGCAACACAATACCCGTCCGAACCTTTAAGGGTCAACTTCGATTTTCTTAGACGATTGTTGAACGAATGCCTTGAGGATCATGAAGAGTGCCGGTCCACGAAAGTAGAAGTTGCAAAGCTGCGTGTCATTGAGGTCACCACGAAAAGAATTTGCCAGGCTCCACCAAGTTGTGAATACATTGCTCTATCTTATGTTTGGGGTGACAATTCTACTTGCAAGAGTACCCAAGGCGAGTTCCCATCAGTTGTACAAGATGCCTTCGCCGTCACTGAGGCTTTAGGCTATCATTATCTATGGGTTGATCGATATGTGAGTCACTACAGTTATGGAAAGATATACCTCGTGCATGACGGTGAACAACAGAACTAATAGGAGCTTTGATTATAGTGCATCGACCAAAACCCGAGCTCCCCTCAGATGCAGTCTATGATCAACCAGATGGATCTTGTCTATAGCAACGCCCGCGTCACTATAGTCGCAGCCTCCGGTAGCAGTGCTAGTGATGGGTTACCAGGAATTAGTGTCCCACGCTATCAAGCCCACGCAGTTATTGGCGAGACCCACCTGATTGAAGTCCCTAATGTTGTAGCTGACATCAGGCTCAGCAACTGGGTCACTCGTGGGTGGACTTACCAAGAATGGTACTTCTCTAAAAGACGACTCGTATTCACCGATAGCGAAGTAATGTTTCTCTGCAACGAGGAACGAGTAAAGGAGACTGTATTGGGTCGCGATATTTACGAGATCGAGGATATGGAGCATGAATTCGAATCAATCAAGCCTCGGAGTCACATTAAGGCTCATCCGCTTCACTCTTACGATCTTGAGTCACATATAAAGGGATAGAGCAAGCGAAATCTATCCTACGATTGTGATAGCCTGAATGCGTTTGCTGGCATCCTGAGATATTACGAGTCAGTTGCAGTAGGCGGCAAAGGACCAATGTCCCACCTTTGGGGAGTTCCAATGAAGCTGCTTGGGCATCCCAAAGATGAGCAGGTATTCTTCGATCTCCTATGGGATCATAAAGCTATTGCTCATCGAAGGAATAGTCTGCCCAGCTGGTCTTGGTCAGGTTGGGGTGGTCCGGTAAGATTTGGAAATTATGGAATGCAAATCCAGACCCTTACAATAGACCCGACAGCTAACAAGCCGCTGGATCATTCAACAGATGAAAATGAAGGAGTGACTTCCGCAGTAGAGCGCATTCTCCAAATACAGATTCCCCTTGAAGACAGGACTATTGATTTGGATGGTTTCTGTTGGGAACGTCAGTTGAATCTACATCGCGAAATTCATCCCAAGGAATTACATATCACCTCATTCATTATGCCGCTACGATTTCGTAAGATTCGTAGTGGACGGTCCTATTCGTATCTCGAAGAGGAAGTCGTTGGGCCGCTGCCGCCCAAAATTATTCCAACATTTCTGCTAAGGCAGGGCATATTTCTTGGTATCCCAGTGTTCTTCGATAGAGAGTATAATTCCGAATTGCACAAATTGGGCCTGGTACTACCAAGCGGTGGTCAGTTCTACAAAGGACCAGATATCTATAACATCATTGTTCTCCACCCTGTAGCGGATGGGAAGTACGAGCGTGCTGGAATCCTTACTCTGCGATATGATGTTGACATGGGAGATATCGAGGCTAGCGGATCAAGCGGGTGTCGGGGCGTTTCATTGGATGAAAATGATAATCGAATTTCAGATGACGACTATAAGTATACTAATCCAAGGAATGAGGCATCAAATGAGTATCTGTTTCTTCAAGACGCCGAATGGAAAACTATATGCTTAATTTAGATTTAGTCTACATATAAGCACATTTTCTGAGGCGAATAAAGTGTAGAGTGGTGTGGCTTTATACATCTAAAGGCTTATATAAGATATTATAAACAATATTCGAATTGAATGTCGTATCGAAATATGGCAAGAAATGAGAATGAGGACTTGATATTCTTATCAAGTCATGATTAAAGATAGATTCCATTTAATCTAACAGGGTCAATCGTTCGTATAATAATATGATCTATAAGAGAAGATTCTTTATTATGTTTGATATAATGATTGATGTTAAAAAAAGTAGTTCATTAATAAAATGGAATGATTATTTCATGATACTAAGTCAACTACCCCACTTTCCGACCACCCCCTCTTTTCGACCACCTCAAAAACCACACCGCTTTGAGTAATTATAAAATTTATACTTTGAATAACTCAACAATGCTTTAATCAATTGATTTGAAATTTTGATATTATTATAATTGTGATATGAAGAATAGATATACCGAAGAAGATATCGCAGAGGCTCTTAGAGCGATTACAAATGGAGCAAGCATACGAAGAGCTAGCTTGGATTATGGTGTTCCACGTACCACACTTCACGATCGAATATATGGTGGAGTTTCGCATCAAAAAGGCGCCCAAATACTTCAAAAGTTATCTCCAATTCAGGAGAATCGACTAGCAGAATGGATATTAGTACAGGAAGCTCTTGGTACTAGCCCTACACATCGTCAAATCAGAGAGATGGCAGAGCACCTCCTTATTGTACGAGGGGAGGATCCCTCACTTGGAAAGAAATGGATACATAGCTTTTTTCGAAGGCATCCTAATATTGGAACTAAGAAGCAACATCAAATCGATTCTGCACGAGTTTCAGGTGCTACATCTGATATTATTAAGAAGTGGTTCCGGAACCTCGCAATCCCTGAAATCAAGGCTATTAAGCCGGCCAACAGATGGAATATGGATGAAGCAGGTATAATGGAGGGTCAGGGTCTTAATGGACTAGTAGTAGGAAGCACTGATCGAAGATTTATTCAAAAAAAGCAACCTGGATCTCGAATTTGGACCTCTTTTATAGAATGCATTTCAGCCAATGGAAAAAGCATTACTCCCCTTGTAATATATAAGGGAAAATCAGTTCAGCAACAATGGTTTCCAACAGATTTGACTCTATTCAAGGGTTGGAACTTTACCGCTACAGAAAATGGATGGACTACAGATGCTACAGCTTTAGAATGGCTGAAAAAGATCTATATCCCTCAAACTACCCCTATTCAGCCGGAAAATTCAAGACTCCTCATTTTGGACGGACACGGAAGCCATGAAGCTACAGCATTTATGTTAGAATGCTTTAATAACAACATATATCTCTTATTTCTCCCACCACATACGTCACACGTACTACAACCACTCGATTTATCTGTGTTCTCACCCCTAAAAAGTGCATATCGAATCGAACTTAATAAATTAAGTCTATTATCCGATTCCTCACCAATTGGAAAGCGCAATTTCCTTTCTTGCTATCAGAAGGCTAGAATAGAAGGTTTAACTATTCAAAATATCAAGTCTGGGTGGCAAGCTAGTGGTCTTTGGCCCAAAAATATGGCTAAACCTCTTATGAGTCGACTTTTGCTTGAAAATAGCAATAGAGAGGTTTTATCACTTAATCCTGAATCTGATGATGATCCTATTCTTCAATGGAATATATATTCATCGTTTATTCAATGGAAAACCCCTCAAAAAGGAGCCGATATCAGAAAATATAGAGATATAATGATTCAAGAGAAGGAGATCGATTTGCCAACACGAAGATTACTATTTCGCAAGATTATAAAAGGATTCGATGCTAAGGATTATGAACTCTTAGAGGCAGAGAATAAGATTAGAAAGCTAGAATATCAATTAGATGAAGCATTACCTAGAAAAAGGCGAAAGGTTGTGGTATCTCCAAATTCGAAGTTCGCAGGGATTAGAGCTATAAGGCGTACACAAATTGAAGCTGGAGATCGTGAAGATGAGGTAGATGATAGCTCTAGTGCTATAGAAAGTGATTCTACAGGCGATTTCATTGAAGTTCAATAGTTATTGAGTTATTAAAGTTTTAAGTGTAGATAATATGAATTTTTTAGGTGGTCGGAAACAGGGGGTGGTCGGAAAGTGGGGTAGTTGACTTAATAAGAGATATATATCTATACCACTTCCGGTTTATGACCTTATTACTCTTTAGATCTCAAGGTGATTATTGAAACTAATGACAGCTAGAGTTTGTAAAGTAATAGGAAACATCCTCAACTCCAATTTACACCCCTAACAGATCTCAGCACTCGTAGCTTCATATCGGCTCCAAAACCTGGCTTGAGAGAAAAGCCCACGCGCATGATATAAGATCTTACAATGATTCCGGACCGCGAAAACCTGTAATACTAGATCTTGACATTTATCTCTCTCATGTATTTAATCGACTTCAGAGCATATAGTATTCATGAGCTGTGATAAGCAATACTGCTTCATTATCAATGAGATTAGGAACTAATCAGCTTCTCTCCTATAGTACTAGGCCACTTATATATATCCGCCAAACAGCCTTTTTACATCAAAAGTCAACTATTTCAATATATTATTATATCTTAAGAGACCATAAAGTTTCTTTATTGTCACGGAAATCTCCGTGCTGTATACACTATGTCATCATTAATAATTGAAAGTTTTATTTTATTCCTTTATATTAGTAAATCAATATTATCTAAATAGACGACTCCGTCGCTTATTCCAGGTATATAAGTTAGCTATGATCTTTATGATTATACCTAAAGTCAATCTAGTATATTACTACTTATTCTTATTATTCCTATTCAAAGTAATCAAAGTAATCAAGCAGTATAGCTGTCCTTTGTAATATTTTTAAATTAAAAGAAATACTTAATTAGAACTTAAATTTTGAAAAGAAAAAGTTCTTTTTTCTATATTAATTTTATAAATTGAGATAATAAATCGGCTTAGAAATCAACCAACTTATATTTTGATTAAATTTTAATGTCAAATCAATAAAAATAATTTTTTCCTTTTCAACCTTATATTATTCTATCGATAAATTTTTGAAAAACTGATAACTTAGATTTATATATTCTTATTATGAATTTTTTAATACGATGAGCTTTTTATTTATTCATTCTTATTTAATTATATGTAAATTAATAAGTGAAATAGTTGAATTTTAATATAAAACGACTAAGTAACGGATTTAAGTATATATAATAAAGGCGTTCGTAATCCTAGAGGTAAATAGGAAATATATATAAGAATCTATTCTTAAATAGTTTTGAAAAGAAGTAATTCAATTAATAATATCTAGCGGGATATGTTTAAATCAGAATTGATTTAATTGATTCATATTATAATGAAGAAATAAATTAAGATAAAAAAAAGAATGAAAACATATCGTAAGGCGAAAAAGAAATATTATTTATAGTTAACAAAACGAATAAATTTTCTTTATTTATAAATTTATACTAATACTAATACTATTACTAATATTGATTTTATATTTATTACTATCGATTATATATAAAATATACTAGTTAAGATTTCTACTTGAGTAATATTACTATCTTGTTGATTCTTTAATTTAATCGTAGTATCTTATATATACATATATTCATTTCTATAGTAAAGGATTTTTCATATATAAAAGATATTCTTTCTGATTATATAATTAGAGTTATATTGTTTACTATTATTATCAAAATAATTCGATTATTTGAGGATCGTTTTTTTTCTCTTCAGATTTTAATAGTAGATATTGTTGGAAGTTGTGGCACGTGCTCTAAGCTACTGTGCATATATCACTTCCACTTCGTAGTTAGATTTTACCTTAGTACAATTAATCTACATAGTCAATAATACATGCATTCCACTGGCCTGCTCCTTTATTGTGAACAGGTTATGAGCCCGGTAGCTCTGCAGTAAGACTAAGGCCGAAAGCTCTTTGAATAGCTTACGTTGCCAAAGGAGAGGTTGACGACGAGAAGCTCCTACGCAACGCGACGTCAACATACGAGGTGCGCACAGCAAACAGATTGCTGAGCAGCGACAGCGAAGTAACCACTTACATCGCGCCTTTTCCTCAAGTAAGAAAACTACGAGTTATTACTGAAAAGACCATTCATTCCAGCTTAACGCTGAAGAGCATCACCTGCTACATAGTGTTCGATATCACTTCAAAAATCATTATCTACAAATCAAAATTCACTATTCTTAATTACCCCGCCTTGAAGAGAATTTCTCCCTTCAAACACTAGTACATCCCAATCGGGACAGCGCAGTCTTAAACAGTTCCTCTTCCACTCTTTCATTCCACCATCAATCACGCCTAGGTCATCGACGCAAGCTTTCTACTTGCAGAACCTTCAAAATGAACGAAGACACTGGATCCAAGGATTACTCCAAGCGCATCCCTCCTCTCACTCAAGAGAATCACGAACGCTGGACTCGTCAAATAAGAATTCAACTTCGAGGAAAAGGTTGGTTCTATACATGCGAAAAGACATTGCATGAATATGCACGGATTGCAGCAGCCGACAACTTAATCCAGGATTTCGAAGAACTTCAAGTCTCCAGCGGCAGCGGCAGTACCACTACAAAGATTCGACTCAATATCGACAAAAAGGCCACCTTTCTTAAGGACGACGCTAGTGCATTATCTTATATCTGTCGCTCATTATCTGACGATGATGAGGCTTTAGTGGACGAATATGATACAGCAAAGAAACTTTGGGATTATCTAGCCGTCAAATACTCCAGAATCGATGATATCGCAGCAGACGAGTACCTCCTCAAGATCAAGACCTTCTCTTTCGACGATACCCCTGATATGACTATTATAGGTGCATGGGATAAGCTCAAGGATCTTCGACGAAAGCTCTTATCTGCGGATGCTTCAGCCGGTGCTTTGTGTACAGATAAATCACTCTTTCAAAGCCTGACCTTGTCTCTCCCTGATGAGTACAAAGTCATCA